CTATTAACCTTAGCACCTATTAACCTCCCTCTTTCCCAGGAAATTGCATTAAGTAATTAGTTAATTCCCCTCACAGCTTCTTTATATCCAGTATGATTTCTAAGGATGTTAAACAGTATTGGTTTTATGAGTCACCCTAGCAGCCAGTCTCAGCATCCCTCAATAACATCAAAGCCATTACAAAGTATAATTAGAAAAATAAAGTTTTTAAAAATATTAATTTTAGGATACTTTCAAATTGCAAGCTCCCTCACTGCTTTTGGGTAGAAAACAACACTATAAAATGTCATTTATATACAGCATCAGATCAGAAAGATGCAACTTCAGTTTATTTAAAATCCAGAAATGCCTATGAAGGGCAGGGTAGTTTAAATGACCTGACGATACACTCTCAGCAAAACCAAAATTAATACAAATATAATGGACACAGTATTTCAAAGGATTATGAGTAAGCTAGGGAGGCTGGAGAGATGGCTCAATGGTTAACAGAGGCCTGGGGTTCTCCCAAATTCAAAAAAGGACCAAGGAGTTTAAAGTATAGCTCAGTTGGTAGAGTGACTACCAAGAATGCAAGAAGTCCTGGGTTGATTCCCAGACCCTGTAAATAGAGTGGCACATCTCTATAGCTGAGGTGGAGGAAAGAAATCAGAAGTTCAAGGTAATCTTTGGCTACATAGTAAGCCAAAGCCATACAGAACAGCCTGGACTATACCATACCAGGTTTGTTTATTTGTTGAATAAACAAACAAAAACAAAAACAAAGAGGGGAGCCAGGGGCATGGCACTGAGGATATAATAGCTGAGTGATAGAGAGCTCTGTGAGAGAGGCCTTCGAATTATCTTCAAAAACATAGGAAGCAAAACCAAAACCAGGAGCTGATGAGAAGGCTTAGTTGAGAAATCTCACTTGCTGTTCTTGCAGAAGTCCAGGGTTTGGTGCCCAGAATCTACGTGGCAGCTCACAACTGTCTTTAATTCTAGTTCCCAGGGATTCAGTGTCCTTTTCTGGCTTCATTAGACACTGCATACGCATGGTACACACACATACATGCAAGGAAATACTTGTACATGTAAAATAAATACATAAAAAAAATCAAATCATTAGGTCTAAGAAAGAAACCAGATATGATGGCTCACACCTAAAATGTCAACTGAAAATAAGAGAATTGCTGAGTTTGAGACCAGCACCCTGGACTCTATACAGTGTGAAATGGTTTTTTTTTTTGGAAATTTGGTATAATCTAATAGAATCACCTAGGAAGACGGCCCCTCAATGTCCCCACAGATTGTCCTATGGGCATGTCTATGAGACATTTTCTTGACTAACGACTGATGTGGTAGGGCCAAACCCACTGTAAACAGTACCACCAGTGATCCGGTGTTTTATAAAACAGCAAGGGGGCTGGAGAGATGGCTCAGAGGTTAAAAGCACTGGCTGCTCTTCCAGAGGTCCTGAGTTCAGTTCCCAGGACATACATGGTAGCTCACAACCATCTATAATCTGGTGCCCTCTCTGGCAAGCAGGTGTACATGCAGGCAGAACACTGTATACATAATAAATAAATCTTTAAAAAAAAAAAAAAAAAAGCAAGCTGGACAAGCCATGGGGAGCTAGCCAGTAAGCAGTGGTTTCTCTGTGGTTATGTCAGTTTCTACCCCAAGCTCCTAGTTTTCCCCATGAGACTATATAACATGTAAATTGTAATAAGCCCTTTCCTCTCCAAGCTGCTTTTGATCAGCAGGAAAGCAAACTGGCCCAGGTAAACATCTCAAAAAACAAACAACAAAGACGAGAATCAAGATTAAAGACAAAATAATTAAAAATAGATACTCTATTTTCTGGGAAATATATAATGCTAAGGGATTCCTGGGTTGATATATTGCTTCCTAATTTTGCCTGACTACAAAATCATTTTACTGATAGCCCAACATATACAGTAAACATTTTTGACAGTTTTATCAGTATAATTGAAAAAAACACATAACTCAGAATCTTAGTTCTTGTTCTTCGAACATTTTAAAATATTGAAAAATTATAAGCTGGGCATGGTGGCACACCCCTTCAATCCTAGCACTCAAGGAGGCAAAAGTAGGCAGATTTCTGTGAGTTCAAAGCCAGCTTAGTCTACAAAGTGAGTCCAGGACAGCCAAAGACACACAGCAAAACCCTGACTAGGAAAAAAAAAGGGGGGGGGGGCAAAAAAAAAAAAACCCTCAAATACTGTGTGCTAGTATATTTATTCTCCATAATCAGTGAAACTCAGTTTAATTTCTGTTCTGCTCTAGGAGCCACTATGACTAACACTGAGTATCCTCCTTCAAAGGTGTCCTTCTCTGAGCCTTCATGAACTAGATCTGCTATCTTTTTGCTTTATAGTACGTGAACACTCGTCTTCCTGGAACAAGATGAGGAAATGACCTGAAACCAGATGTCAGGTACATAACTCATCACTCAAACACGGTTAATTAGCTGGGAGTGGTGGCATAGTCCTGTAACCCCAGTAGTTGGGAGGCAGAAGGAAGACCAGGAGGTTCAAGGTTATTCCCAGCTACACAGTGAATTCAAGGCCAACCCAGGCTTTGTGAGATCCTGTCTCAAAATAAAAGAGAGAAGACAGTTAACTACCAAATACAACACACTAGTAATTAGCCAGCTTGAAAATCCACTACTTACAACTTGAAACTAAGTTATGTATTTTTTCAAAAACAATCTATTAAGTAGTAAAATTTAATTATAAAGACAGCTCTATTCCAATAAATTCAATACACTAATAAGTGCTTCTGTTTTGACATTTAGAATACAGGATCTTTAAGTTTAAATATGCTCTTCATTTTCAGAAAATGAAATGATTAAACAGTAAAAATACAATGATTACAATCACCCTCTTGACCAGTTCTTTCAAGTGAAAGACTACAAAGAATGTTTCTCCAACAGCTTCAATTCTTACAATACTACCTCTCTTTAAAAGTGTTCTTTCTTGAGAGCCAGGCATGACAGCTCATGCCTAGAGAATCAGCACTCAGCAGCTAAAGAACTGTGATCTAGGCCACCCTGAGGAACAGGAGACACTATCTCTAAAAATGATCTTTCTGCTAGTAACCATGATAGTCAGGTCATATATATTGCTCAGTTATCTTTCAAGAACACTTTCAGATAATAATTCTTTTATTGGAGTGATGTTTTTGTGAACTGTGTAAAGATTATCTTTGTATTATTCAAATTCTGTGGCAGTGCAGTTCTGATTATAGGCAGACTTTGGCACTGTCATTTTTATGAAGCATCTCCAGTTTCAATGTTTTGTAATCACTGTTCTCCACCACCTTCTGATTTGTTTTATTACAAATCTGATAAAAATAGTGGTGTCCATGCCTTTAATCCTAGCACTTAGGAAGACAGAGGCAGTTGGATCTCTGTGAGTTTGAGGCCAGTCTGGTCTACAGAAAGAGTTCCAGACCAGACATAGATAAAGAAGGATGTGCCAGGCCAGTATTCGGTAGGACAGGTAATGGGCCACATAGGAGGCCAGGCCAGTATTGCTGGGTTAAAATAACTCAGAATCTTCCCAGCTTAGTGCTATAAACTAATAATAAATATAAGTCTCTTTCATTATTTGGGAAGGGGGAGTAGGCATGGAAAGTCCTTATTGATACATTTCCTTTTTTATGATTTATTTACTTTTATTTTATATACATTAGTGTAAAAATGTCAGATCTCTGAAGTTACAGACAGTTGTGAGTTGCCATGTGGGTGCTGAGAATTGAACCCAAGTCCTTTGGAAGAGTAGACAGTGCTCCTTACCACTGAGCCATCTCTCCAGCCCCTACATTTCTGTTTTTTCAGACAGTTTCTCTGTGTAACTGTCTTGACTGTCTTGGAACTCACTCTGTAGACCAGACTGACCTGTAACTCATGGAGATCCACCTACCTCTGTCTCCTGAGTGCTAGGATTAAAGTGGTGCACCACCACTGCCTGGCTAAACAATAATTCTTAAAACATGGACTAATAGAGCCTATTTTTTAATGGTTCTAGTAAAGATATGATAAACAGGTGCACATGCATGATGTGTGGTCTCTGGCCAGGCCCCTTACCCTGTCTCTTCCACAAGATCAGCTCTGAGCCCACTTCATCAAGTTATTGATTTAGTAATGGTTCCTGTTGAAAGACTTTCGAGTGGCGGGAAGTAACGTGTAGTATTACGGTCAGAACTCTAGCTTGAGTTTTAGTAGGCCTGCCTAAAGCAAAGTGACTAGAATGAAGTATTTTTAAGAATGCAAGATAAACAGATTCAAGAAAGGTTACTAGCCAGGTGTAGATATTTGTAATCACAAGGCTTGAGAGGCTGAGACAGGACACTGAATTCCAGGCCAACCTGGGCTACCAAGGGAGACCCAGTTGCAAAAAGGTGGGGGGGAGGAAGATAAAGGCTGGGGGTGTGGCTAGGGGACAGTACTGCAAGCTGCCTTTGTGAGTTTAAGCCCCAGTACCACACAGTGTGTTCACAGCTGCCTCACTCACCCGGTGGACCTTCTGGAGAGATCCCTAAATGACGCCTCTGTGGGCACTTTCAGCCCTGCACCTTTTTTTAAAGTAGGCATTTATCTATCCTCTGAGCTTTAGGCAAAGGTGCCCCTTGAGCGCCCTGAGACCCTTCCAGCAACCCCACTCCGCAATCCCTCGAGTAGCCTCTGACTCCCGCGACCCCCACAATCTCCTCTGCGGGGCCCTCGTCTCAAGCACACTAGGCTTCGGCCGCCCCCTTCAACCCAGAAAGCCCCATCTTGAAGTCCCTGCCCCACGGACGGCCCTTCTCCCCAGAGAGCTTTCTCCTCCAGACCCTGGCTCTCCCAGGACCCCCGATCTCCTCAGGGCGTCCGCCCCACAGGCCACCTCTCTCCTCAAGATCCCCGCCCCAAGGCCGCTCCGCTGACCCGCGCCGTCCACCTCCGCCTTCACTGCGCGGGCCCTGAGGCCGCCACACGCCCCCATCGCTGCCCTTACCGCACATGGTGCTGCAGGTCGCCGGGCGAAGGCCGAGCGGTCGGGCGCGCGCGAGCTTCGGAAGCGAGGACGAGCGAGGACCCGGGTGGCAGCAAGGATGCGACAGCTCAGGCACGACTGCCGGACCCGCGGCTCGGCCCTCAACTGCCGCCCCGCCCCAGCCAGCCCCGCCCCCAGCTACGCGCGCCGCCGCGGCTCTCCCATTGGGCCGCGCCCGCGCCGCTCACGCGCAGGCCCCGCCCCCGCCGCGCGCAGACGCACAGCGGCCGGTAGAGACGACGTGGCAGGGGCTCGGCCGGCATCCGCCTCGGCATCCTGGAGCCTCCCGCCGAGGGCGAGGCGCGCGGCGGAGGGGGAGGAAGGGAATGTTTACACAACAGGGAGACACAGAGGGAGCCAAGCTGGAGGGCAGGAGAGCCTGGCACAGACGCGTCTGTGTGCAGTGGGCGCGGGGGCCGGAACTGCGCGGGTGGCGCAGGCCGCCCTCGGCAGCCTTTCCGGTGACGACCTCAGCTGTAGGCAGGTGCTGGGCGCCCCACCTCTTGCCCTCACCTACTTGTGTTCTTGGCCTAGGGCCCCACGACTCAGTGGTCCCAGCCCTGCGCCTGCGCTCAGAAAACTGCGAGCCGCGTCTGGCTGCCCACCTAAGAGCACTGGAGGGAGTCTGCGGGCGCGTTGCACCCTCGATCGCTCCGGCCGTGATGAACTCCACCGCGAAAAGAGGAGAAAGTTAGCGGGGCGTTTGCTAAAGGAAGGTCTAAATAGTACCTTGGGGCAAAAGTAGGCAGTTATCAGCCCTCTGTTGACAGCTCTAAAGGGAATAAATGAATAGGGCCAACAGAAGCTGATGAGCTTCCCGCTGGTGAGCGAGCACTCTCAGCCAGCACACCAGCACGTCTGAGGCCTGTGTGTCCTCTGACCTCACCAACATTCAAACCTGCAGAGTCCCACATCCCTGCCACTTTTAAACGCGACCACTTTGAAAAGCCCCTCAAGAGGGCTTTAACGTCTCACCCTTTGATCTGCCTCATACAATAGGTTTCTGTATTAAAGCTTTTTTTTCTCTCTCTCTCCACTAAGCTGTAAGTTCCTTTATGATGGCGTGAGTTTTTGTATAACAAACGCCTGTCTAGTAATAAACCCTAGCAAAAGGTGGCAAATCAAAACTGTTCTGATAGCTGGAAAGATGGCTCAGGGGATAAAGACACTGGCAGAAAGCCCGATTCCCATCCCTGTGTCCCACAAAAGGGTCTTCTCACTACACACACACACACACACACACACACACACACACACACACCCTGCCATGCGGCCGGCTCTACCCCCAAAACTGAATAAATACTAGAAAACGTTTTTGAACAAGTGATAAAAGCCATAGAATTGACCCTATCAGCTGGTTGTAGGTGCCAAGGAAGCAAAGGCTTTTCAGTTTTTCATCACCTACCTCAAATTTAGGCTAGAAAATGTAATCAAGGTATTCCTCATCTAAAAGCTCTTCGCTATTCCAAGCCATTAAACACGTCCCTAGATTAGCCTGGCAAAGTCAACACGGTGAACTCTTTGTTAATGGGCAATGCATTTCTTAGTTCAAGAAATGGGTCCTTGGATAGACATCTCAATCTAAAGACCCTCAACTGGGAGACGACTTGGGTGGTACTGCCCCAGAGTCCAGGTGGTTCCAGTGCTTTGTGTCTCATTTGCTGGCAGTAAATCTGTTGATGCCACAAAAATGACGGCAGCAGTACCAGCAAAGTGTTCCAGCTCTGGTAATCCATCCAGCGTTTCTGCCTGCTACCAGCTCACTGTCTCTTACCCATCTCCAGTCTGCTGTCTTGGTAGCACCAGCTGAAAGGAAACTTGAAAGGCCAATGTTCTCCAGCCCAGCCCTGGACAAGCTCACTAAACCCCACCACAAAGGATGCTTTGTAACCAGGTGCCAGCTCAGACGCTGCCCCTCCTCCATGGAGCAGCTCTGCCTTCTCTGGGCCTATAAAATAAAGCCTGGAGGAGAAGATCAATGATGTGTGAAGGAAAGAGGCTTTGAACATCTGAGAACATGAAGAGGATTTTCTCTGCTACATTTGTTCAAACAGCACTGAACAAATTTAAGGAAGGGAACTGAAGAAAGGAGAGGGACAGTTCTCTCCGTTAGTCAGGGTTTTTATTGCTGCAACAAAACACCATGACCAAAAAGCAGGTTGGGGAGGAAGGGGTTTATTCCGCTTAGACTTCTACATCATAGTCCATCACTGAAGAAAGTCAGGGCAGGAACTCACACAGGGCAGGAGGCTGGAGGCAGAAGCTGATACAGAGGCCATAGAGGGGAGCTCCCTACTGGCTTACTCTCGATGGCTTGCTTAGCCCGCTTCCTTAGAGAACCCAGGACTGTCAGCCTAAGGGTGGCATCACCACCATGGGCTGGGCTTTTCACCATCAATCACTAAAAAATAAGAAGAGCCTTACAGCTAGATCTTATGGAGGCATTTTCTCCATTGAGTTTCCTTCCTTTCAGGTAACTTTGTATCAAGTTGACATAAGACTAGACAGCATATAACCTTCCTCATCCTTGTGATTTTTGTTACCTGAAAGTGTTGCAGTTCTGAAAGGAAAGGCTTTCTCTACACAAAAGGCTTTCTCTGTTACATCTCTGCCCTGGCTATGGGGGGGGGGGGGTGTCCCAGTGCAAGTGTATCAGCTTTTTCCCCAGCAAAAGTGTTACAGTTCTGCTCCAGCAGGGGGAGGTTTCTACTGAGAAAAGTGTTACAGCTCTGTTCAGAGAGGGTATCCCGGGCAATCTTAATTCGTGGGTAGAAAAGATGGTGGCAAATAGCAAAGGAAAAACAGCATGAGACCTGTTGGAAGAAAAACACTAGAACCCAGGGCTGAGGCAAAGTATCAGGAGTTTAAGGTCATCCTTGACTGCAAAGAAAGTTCCAGGAGAGACCCTGTCTCAAAAGACACACAACCTTAGAGGGACAGTTCAGAAATTTAGAGTGCTTGCTGTCCTTCCAAAGGACCAGAGTTCCTTCCCAGCACCCAAATAAGGTGGCTCACTATACCCATAACTCCAGCTCCAGGGGAAACAATGCCAGCTCCTGGCTTCCATAGGCACGTGTGCACATGACACACACACACACACACACACACACACACGCATAAGGACATCAGTCAGCTGCAGAAAGACCTCAGGACTGGGGTCTTTGGCAGCACTGTTACTCTAGTTTAACCTAAGTACCTTTTCCCCAGAACAGCCCTTCAAATAAAGATCTGACTCTCCCTGTATCTTGCCCGCTCCAGGCCTTCCTCCAGAAGTCTGTCAGTGGCCTCGGGCCAAACTCTTCCAGCACCTTGTAATCTAGCTGTCCTGAACCCTTAAGAAGTTCTCTGAGAGAATAAAGCCATCTCAAGCTTTAACAATTCTGCTTTTTGTATCACTTTTTTTTTTTTTTTGAGACAGTGTCTTCCTATGTAGCCCAGAATGGCCTAGAACTGGTGACCTTTCTTCCACCTCCCTAGCGCGGGATTACAGGCATATAACATCCCACTTAGTTCTTTACATCTACTTTGTTGTTGTTGTTGTTTGTTTGGTTGGTTTAGGCTCATTAAAAAGGAAACCAAAGTTTTCCCCCAGCTGCCACATAGTAGCATGGTCCTGTTGAGAAAACTAAAGCAGTGACGGATGAGGTCCACGCTTCCTGTGGCACATAGCCATGCCTGGCAGAACCAGCCCTGCCTTACCCCCGCCATGGCCTCCTCTCAGGGCTCCCTGCCTCTGTCCTCATCTTTCATGACAATAAGGCAACCATCACAGAAGACAAGATCAATGCCCTCATCAAGGAAGAGTATAGAAGTGGAACCTTGGCACTGGTCCCAGCCACCATGAGCATAAGTCTCAAGCGTACTGTGGGGACTGCTAGCATCGGACACAGCAGCGGGAGGTCCTGCTGAGAAGAGACAAAGGAACACCAGGGATTTGGTGTTCCTGACTAAATCTCCTTTGTGATGTCTGATAAAAAGCCAACCTCTAGGCTGAAGACACAGCTCAGTTGGTAGAGCTGCCCTGGACTCTGGGTTTGATGCTCAGGATGACAGACAATGGGTGTTGTGATACAAGCCTGTCATTCTAGCACTCAGAATACATACACAGGACCAACTCAGGCTGTCCTCAGCTAAGTGCCGAGTTTCGGGTAGCTTGGGCTATATGAAAGCCCCTCTCTCAAAAAAGGAAAGGAGAAAAACTGAACTATAAAGAAAAAAAAAAAGCTTCACCAGTGAACCATATCCCCAGCTCTAGAGGGGGGAAAAAAACCCCTTTTTTTTCTTTACTTCTGTCTTAGTTACTGTTCTATTGCTGTGATGAAGTACCATGACTGAAGGCCACTTTTTAAAAATTTATTTAATTTTATTCTCTGTGCATTGGTATGAAGGTGTCAGAATCCATGGAACTGGAGTTAGACAGTTACAGTTACAGATAGTGGGTGCTGGGAATTGAACCCCAGACCTTTGGAAGAGAGCTAGTGCTCTTAACCTCTAAGTCATCTCTCCAGCCCCAGAAGACAACTTTTAAAAGAAAGCATTTAATCGGGGCCCTTCTCAACAGTTTCAGAGGGTTAGGTCATGACTATCGTGGCAGTGCGGTGGAAGCAGACATGGCACAGCACTGGCACAGTAGCTGAGTTTGCATCCTGATCACAGGCACAAGGCAGAGAGAAAAAGCAAGACCCACCCCCAGCGATACAACAAGGCCACACCTCAATCCTTCCCAAACAGTTTCACCGACTGGAAACCAATCATTTAAACATATGAGCCTATGGAGGCTGTTCTCATTCTAACCACCACAACCAGAAAGCCATAGTCCCAGCCCTGAAAAAATAAAATATAGTTTTAAAAATGTATTTATTACTATTTCATGTATATGAGTGTTTTGCCTACACATATGTCTGTGCACTGCGAGTGAAGTGCCCATGGAGGCTGGAAGATGGCACTGGATCCCCAGAAGCCGGCACTGCAGATGGGGTGAGCCACTACGTGGGTTCTGGGAATTGGAGCCAGAGCCTCTGAACGAGCAGCTGAGCTCCCAGCTCATAGCTCTACTCTTGAGAAGCATCTTTTTACCTACCACTGGGGTCACTC